TTTGAATGTTTGTTTTCTAGAAAAAAAAAATGGGGGGAAAAAAAAAAAAAAGGTCTTGAAAGTGTTGAAATGGCATCTTGACACTTAACCCCTCTGCCGATGTCTGCTTTATATATAACTTATAATCCAGCTCTATAGTTGCAGACTCAAAACCTAAATGAAACCATTTGAAGTGCAGTGTTTCAACTGACCTGATCTAATTTGGGGTTTATACGTTCAGCAGACGTTTTGAGATTAAAGTGTTCTGTCTTCACTTAACCGTCTTCGTTTAAGTATGGAAATATTTTCAAGCCTCAGAATTCATCCCACGATGGGGAAAATGTCTCCCGCTCCTCTCTCCTCACAGTTGGAGGAAATGAAGGATGGAGTCACAAGATTTAAAGCAATTCTCTTACCACACTTTACTAAGTTACAGTTCAACTACAGCAGTTGACCGTGTGCCTGTTTTTAGCTCAACAGTCACTTTTGGTTCCCGCAGCCAATACCATCTCCTCTGTGCAATCCCTCCAAAAATGTTTCTTCTGTAGTGCTCACAAAGCGAGTTCATGTCCCTGTGCATGAGTTGCCAATATAATTTATTCCAGCAACTTACCTCCCTTTTCCCAGCAAAACAGGCTAGCCCATCCTCATGTCTTTGTGTGTGAGCTCTGCTCTGTCTGCTGCTCACGGTGCAGGAGAGGTTATGTTCATTAGCGCTCCAGATGAATTGCCAGTACATCAGAAGCAATGAGTAATCTCTGTGTTTTTTCTTCTGTATTCATTGCTAGGTCATTGTGGGAGGGTCCTTCTGCTGCACCATATTGTGAGTTACTGCTGTCACCCAGCATTTGGTCCTGGGGGTTATTACCTAGAGCATTAGGAAAGCAGGATGCTCTGCACGCTGCCTGCCTGTCACCACAGCTCAGTTCCTGAAGCTGTTTGCCAGCTCTCCATCTGGGATGTTAAGTTTTCAAGAGGGGATTCAGCCGCTTCCCACTTTCAGTCTCTGATGGCTTTTGCACCCCAGAAGTGTTTCCCAGCAGACTGAAATCTCACTTTGTTTCCCACGTTTAAACCCACCATCTGCAGAGCAACTCCCTTTGGTGTCTGCTATTTCAGAGAGGCCAAGTGTTGCTGTAGGGAGTCTCTTCAACAATTTCCTCACCACTTAATGTCAAATATATGTTCACTCTGTTGTTGATAGGGCTGCATTTAAGTCTGCAAGTTTTTACCCACAAGCTGCTCATGGGCGTCTTCCTCAGTTGTTCTTTGCCTGTGTTTTAGTGTATCTTTGCTTGGATTCATTTCTCTTTACAGATACATTAGGGTGCATTCAGATTGGATATTAGGAAAAGTTTATTCGCAGAAAGAGTGTTGATGCACTGGCACAGGCTGCCTAGGGAGGTGGGGGAGTCACTGTCCCTGTTCAAGAACCGTGGAGATGTGGCGCTGAGGGATGTGGTGAGTGGGCATGGTGGGATGAATTGGGGTTGGAGTTGTTGACCTTAGAGGTCTCCTTCACCCATTATAACTCCATGATTCATTATTCTCCCCAGGTGACATCTTTGCTGTGGATGTTGTGCTCACAAGAGGCCTAGACCCACACTCAGTCTTTAATATGGGACCAGCTTTCCACTTTGAAATGCATTATTTCAATTGTTCTTTTCCAGCGTCCAGAAATTAGATTTGGAGACTGGAGTGTCTCAATAAGGAAGGCTACTGCCTGCCTCTTAGCCAAAACATTGGGAAAATGTGGTAAACTTCCGCCTCAGCCCATCCTGGACTTGTGGGCTGTACTCTTATGACATGAATTGACCACAGTGCCTAGGACTGGTGTTCCATAGCTGGTTCTTACCTTTCTTCTCTATGCCTTACTATGCTGTTCTGTGTAAGCTCATCAGATGCACCCTGGGGCTGATAGTGGCAGCTCAGGAGAAAAGGTAAAAATCAGTGCCGTCGTTTTATTTCTCTTCATCTTTTTTGGCTTTGTGAAGGCCTGAAACTTCCAGGAGGTGCTAGGAGAGTTAGCTAAACTGTGAAAGAGAGCAAAATCGAGAAACAAAATCCTAGAGCGATGGCATTCTCATCATGTGCAGAAATACCTTTGTGCAGGTTGTTAGCTGCTGGGGCTGCATTTAGGCATGTGGGATAACCTGATTACAGAATCAGAGAAAACCCTGTTAGCTCCGCAGGCCAAATCCTGCCTTACAGCAACCTGATGTCAAATGGGTGTGAGTTGAGGAAGCTTTCCCTTTGGCATCGTGTGGTAACACCTTGAAGAGAAGGGTTTGAGCCAAGGATATAGCAGGGAATGAGGCTTAAGCAAATACACTCCCAGACAGGGAGTGAACCGGAGTCTGAATCTAATGACTTTGTTTTTCCTCACTGGTACAGACTTGGAAGGATGAAAAGAATTAATTTCTCAGGTCTGATTTTTGGATTGTACAGAAGGTTTAATCAAGAGTTGGTTAATTTAAACCGCTTGACATGCTGTGAAAATGTCAAATGGTGCAACTGAGCAGCGATTTGGGAGCAAAGACTTGTGTTTTCTGAAGGCATAACCCAGAAACATGATTACCTGCTGTTATGGTCACTGCAAAACTCCCACCAAAGCCAGCATCACACGAGATGTCAGACAAGATGGCTGGGATGATCCCTTGCAGCCTGAACTCTGTCTGAGATATGTGAGTAGGAGTTGCACTGGATCTGTAGTGAGAGCATTTCCAGGCCATGCTGCTTGGGGATGGATCGCAGCTGCTGGTTTCTGCTCTGCTCATGGTACCAGGATGGTTGTGCTCAGCTTTGCTGTCAGCAGAGCAGCTCTCCATATGCAAGTAAGCTGTGAAATTCCTGGTTGTGTTGTGGGTGCTTAGTGTTTATTGGAATTCAGAAGACTATTAGGCAAGTTCATGGGGGGAGCATCCACTCTAGACTATTAAGCAGAGAGGTCGAGCTGCGGATCAGGAAGCCCTAAGCCAGAAATTGCTGGAGGCTGGGAGCATGTCCTGAGAAACTGTTTTGCTTTGTTTGTCCCGTTCTCATTTACCCTTAGCCTCTGTTGTTGACAGCTCTTGGAAACAAAGCAAGCAATGACTTGGTGAGGCAAATGCTCCATACCTGCAAGTTGTCATAGATGATGCTTTGTGAGTGATGCAGTCTGCATCTGCAGGTATTCAGCACTCCTTCCATGGTGGTAAGAGAAAGCAGCAGGGATATGGACTGAGATGATGTGATCTGCGTATGCAAAGCAAAATGGTATATTTGCCAGGTTATTCCTCCAAGTGCAAAATTATTGACCTTGCTTTTTCTGGCATACCAGCTACTGTTACAACGATGATGATGGTGACAGCAACCGGACAGAAAGGCCAGCAATTATTCTTTCCTGCCCACTATTACAAATCATAAAGCAAAATCCAGGCTGAAACCAGTGCTAGTCTGGCTGCGTTCTCTTTACAAATGTAAATGTTAGGCGGTTCTCATATGGGTTTCAATTCAGGACTTTTCGTATCAAGCTTTCCAGAACCAACCTTTTTGATCTTCTGATATGAAGCTGTGTGTATATGTTTGTATCTTACCAGTGATTTGCAGCCCAGAGATAACATCCAATACATATGTGTGAGTGTAGAAGTAACCTTTCTGAGGGTGATTCATCTCCTGACAGTACATTTTGGCTGTACATGTAAGAACTGGATATTGCCCCTGAGAATATTGGCTCGAAGAAGCAATGGCAGTGTGGTCAGTCAAAGTGCTATTTTCCCTTGGAGTTTTGTTGCATGAGGAAAAAGAAGAACTTCAGCCTTCCTTTGTTTGTCAACATGATCTGCCTTTCAGCAGCTTTTTCTGTTTCTGTCCCATTAAATGTGTTCTTTTTTTCCTGTCCTCATATCTGTGTATCTCAGCCAAAATCAGTACTATAACCATAGGTATTCTGCCTTATCCAAGATTCAAACATTAACTGATAACATTTGATATCTTCAGGTGCATCAAGCAAGGATAGTGAGTGAAATTCATTCTTCTAAGCTCCACTGAAATGACCCAAATCATCGTCATAGATTTATTGGTAGTGTTTTGCACCTTTGATTCATAGCACATGTGTTTTGGGTGCTTGGTTTGAAATGGCAACTTGCACAGCTGGGGTCAGAAGTGTCTCTTGCACAGCTGTTTGGAGCAAAACTACTCTGGTGCTTCTATAACCGACTACAGGGATGAGTGAGAGTTGAAATGAGACAAATTGCTCAGTGTAGCCCACTTGAAGGGTGTTTTATTGGCTCCAGTGCTTCAGGAGCAGGCTGGCACACCTACGAGGTTGGCATACCTGTAAGGCCAGGAGGATGGCTTTGGAAATAGCATTTTAGTCATCATCTCAGACATTGGGAGATAGAGATAAATGGATAAATGATCATATGAAGTCATCCTGAACTCGTGCCCATGCAATGCTGTTGTTCCTGGCACTGTCTTGTTTACTCCTAGAATTTGACAGAAGTTTTCCTGGTAGGAGAGGAAGATTAAGGCTTACTTACCAGACAGATAAGGATTTCTTAGGGTGGAGTAGTTAGGGTGTCTCTGTAGAGCCCCAGGAGCATGAGCTCTAGCTTTGCACTGTGCTTCATGGAGGTTTTGTCTGATAACTCAGCTGCAAAAAGTAATTCAGACTGGGCAGTATGGAGGCAAACATGCAGAAACTCCAGCTGCACAACTTTCTCATGTGTTCTTGGCTAGAGAACTTCAGTATCTCAGATACATCCACCTGTTAGGTCATCCCTGATCATTTCTCAGAGCTGTTGAGTGAAGGCTGTGATTTTTCTCCCAGGGATTACACAGCTTTGCATTTTCACGTAATACTAAAGACCTGATCCAGGCCCCATGCTGTTAACATGCTCTTTGTTGATTGTATTGCAGTTATCTAGAAGAAATGAAAGCACCTAAAGCTGCTGAGTAGCAGTAGCCTCCAGCCCAGCTGACCTTTATAAACATCCTGCTGAGATGGAGCTCACGCCTGCTTGTGTTTGTTTTGTTTGCAGAAAACACTGGAGCAATGCAGTGTATGCGCAAAGCCCATCATGGAAAGGATCCTCCGAGCCACCGGGAAGGCCTACCATCCCCACTGCTTCACCTGTGTCATGTGCCATCGCAGCCTGGATGGGATTCCCTTCACTGTGGATGCTGGTGGGAACATCCACTGCATCGAGGATTTCCATAAGTACGACCCAAGCTGCTCTCACTTGCTTTGTTTCTTGTCTGTCTCTCTTGTCCCTAAAAATATTCCTTATTCTCTCTGACTGTCCAGAAAGGTATGAACCCTCTGCCACTTCCTCTGAAGACACTACGAAGTAGTTAGAGCTTTACTTCCATCAGGCATAGTGTGGCATACAAGATTAACTGGTTAGTGGCTGGTAATGCTTGATCTTTGTCTTGTGTAGATCCGAATTTATGGGTAACCTCTGTGCTCATCTATTTAAAATGCTCTGCAATCCCCCCTGCCTTCCCTGAGCTCAGCATGTGCACGTTTCTCCTTGGCTGTACCTGTGCTTCCACATCAGTGTCTCTCCCTTTCTTCCACCTGAGCAATTAAGAGAGGTCCTGTGCTGTTGCGCCCAGCAGGTGTTTGCTTACCATCTAGAGGGATCTAGGTGGCCACAGGACACTCATAGTTTCTCTTGTTTCTGGTTGCTAATTAGCTTTTAAAAGCTGCTAAAAATACAGCCCTGCTAATAATTTATGGTGAAACTGCCATTTAAAGCAAGTTGAAAGATACAGTTGCAAGGCAGTTCTGTTGCTGCCATGCTACCACCCCCATCATCACATTTAAGGAAGACATGTAGATATAATCAGAGCACAAATGTTTCCACTGTATGGAAAAGACAGACACGTTACACCCCTCAATTAAAAGAGGAAATCAATACTGACAAATGTGAGTTTACATCTCAACCATTTATCTCTTAATTTCTAAGAGGGTAGACTTAATTTGAGCCTCGTGACATCAGTGTGTGGGCCTGAAAGCTCAGAGAAGCAGACTGACTTGACAGAATGGAAAGCAGCCACAGTCAACTTGCATGCTAAAATCCAATATAAGGACATTCCCTGTAGCTCAGATAAGTTGGGTTAATTGACAGGTGCTGAGGCGGCTGTGTGCTGTCTTGCTTTTCTGTGCCAGCAGTCATGTGTAACATAAAATTTGGTCCTGAACAGAGGCCCAATGTGAGGCTAAAGCATCAGTCATGCTCCTGAAAGATTTCCTTCCAACCCACTTATGATTTGGAGACTGCTTCTTCCACAAGTCCTGGAGCCTTCAGGAGAAAGAGTGGGAGCAAGAGCTGCTGTCCCATCCTGAAGTCCTTTGACTGTGAATAAATCTGGATCTTACAGCCCTGAGAGCAGGAAGCAGGAGGCTGTCAGTCCAGGCAAAGGACATGAAATTGCTGAGTGAAAGATTGAGGGGGGAAGATAATGGGAGCAGCAGAAGAGCTAATGGAACGTTCAAAACGTCTTAAGGCTTCCACGTATTTAGCAGCACTTTGGCCAGTCCCGTTTTAAGTGGTCAGTGATGCCCTCCTCCTGGTCTGGAAGTTGAGTGCTCGACATCTTGTGCATTGTTTTGATAACAGCACTGTGCCTGAGGTCCACACTGTCTCTTAGCTACCTCTTTAGCTTGGGGCCCGCAGAAGCGCATCCACATCCCTTGAAATCTGCAAGAGTCATTTCTGGGTCGCTGGACTTAATATTTGGCTTATAATGAATTCCCCACAGCAGCCTGGACAGAGAAATGGTGAAGTATTTTTAAACACCACAGTTGAGCTAAATGGCACAAGGAAGCGCCTGCATGAAGCAGCATATAATTAACTGCCATTACAGCTCCGGTCACATCATGATCCATGTAAGTTATTTTTCAGAGCGCTCACTATAGCCACTGTTTAATTCATTTTTTTGTTAGATCGCAGCTACACAGGCATCTTTCATCTGCTGCCAGAGAAATTAATATTTTTCTTTATTCCTAATACAGATAGATTTTAATTTTTTTTCTAAGCTAGTTAATTCTGGGGTGGTTTCTGTCACAGACTGGGTGGCAGAGTCAATCTTTCCTAGGCATTGCATAGGAGAACGGTCTTTGATCTCCTTGTGTTCTGATGTTTGCCATGAGCATTTGCCCTCTGTCACTGCGTAGCCCGTGACCCCAGCTCTCATTAAACAGCAGCAGATTCTGTAGGTATAAGTTTCTATTTTTTTGTGAGGAGAAACTGCTGCCAGGGAATTGGTACCCATAGGTTTTGAACCAAAACAGCGAATAATGACTCGTCACAGGCTAAATGTTCCCATGGATGCCCACTTGCCTGGGAGCAGAGATCACCACTTCTCATGGGCAGCTGCAGAGTACAAAACCAGAACATAGCAAATTAGGGAGAAGGTGGTATGGTGGACCACATGAGATAGAAAGAAAAGGCCTATGCTCCTCTCGATCTCCAAAGTGACCCTGAGTCAAGCCAGTCCTATCACATAGTGAAGACACCACAGTCTGTGTCTCTTCCTTCTTCAGGAAATTTGCACCAAGATGTTCAGTGTGTAAGGAGCCCATCATGCCAGCCCCAGGACAAGAGGAGACTGTACGCATTGTCGCCCTGGATCGTGACTTCCATGTCCAGTGCTACCGGTGTGAGGTTAGTATTCTGATTGCACGAAGGAGAGAAATCAAAGGTTGGTATCATTTCATCAATGCCTTATGTTATATGCACGACAGACGAACTCTATTGTAACACTGTCTCTACTGTCAAATTACTTCACTGACTTCAGCATGCAAGGAATTTTTCCTCATTTGTATCAGTGCAAATTAGAAGAAAATCAGGTCCCTTGTTTATAACAGGTTCATTAGGAGAGCAAGAGAATGTGACTCAGTTAATTAGAGCTTAATATTTGAGAACATCATAAATTATAGCTTGGATACAAATGTTGCTCATGTTTATATTCTTAAAATGAAAGCTATGCATGTTAGAATTTGAGCAAGATTGTACAGGAAACTCAACATATGGCTCTGGGTTGAAGAATTTTAATGGACGCATAAACATGATCATTCTTGTTTTGTGCAGTGCTTTTTGTGGTACTTTCCTGTTCAGTTTCATTACACACTTCATATAATTTTGATGGTAAGAATCTGAAGACAGAAGAAAAATCACCTTAAAGCAATTAACATGTGGGAACTGCTGTGTTAGGGAACCTTCAAGAATTCTTCAATGCAAGTGTTACTTGCTGGATAATATATCAGGCAGATGGCAGAGTAAGAAAATGAGACCAAACGTATTTCTTGTCACAGTTGCAGGTTTTAATAACCAGCTGGAAAGAAGGATGGACTGAGGCTTAAAGGTCTAGGCTGAGACTTGAGGCATCTGGTTCACTTCAGTCTGTCATTGGTTTCCAAGGTTCAACTCATTACTTAGGCCTAGTTTTTGTAAGGCATTTAGGTATTCGTACACTAAATTTTGCAGAGCCTAATTCATCATATAGGATGTCCCCATGCTGGCTGTTGAGATGCCTAGGCTTCATGCACATGGATGTCAGAGGACACAGGCACGCAGCTCCTTGAAGTCCAACATAGGTCCTGCATCAGTACGTTGTTAGCTTAGAGCATCATCTCAGGGGCAACTGAACAGCTGCAGATTTGACCTTAAATGCTCATGTGGATTTGCTGGTCCAAAGATTGCTAAGCTATCATCTCTGCATAATGCGACTCTGAAAGGCGCTGCATGTTAGTAAGACAACAGATGAGCTGGTAAAGTACAGCAGTTCTTTTTGCAATGTCTGAAAATCCTTCTGTGTTTTGGCCCTCACCTCCACGTGTCTCACCTATCTCAAGTGGAGCAATAGCAGTCCTTTTTTCCCTACCATTTCCTTGCCAGGTGTATTTACAAACAGAGATTTATGATAAAGAGACATGGCCACTAAGGAAGCTGTAATCTTCTCATTGCAGCTCCATCAGCAGTTTGTTCCCAAATGATTGTCTGATCACATACAGAGGAGTAATTCCCAGTGTTCTAGCAGCTATACTTGGCTCTACATGAGGCTGAAGTGTCAGGGGCAAATTTGGGGCCTTATAGTGAGATTTCTACTCTTCCTATCTCAGTGATATCCTCCTTTCAGCCTCAGCCTTTTGCACCAACTGCAATACAAACACACAGTTCTGGTCATGGGTGACAGGCAGGGAGTTTGCTTAGCGGTCACCCCTGAGAAAAGGATATTGCAGCTTTGTGGCATCAACTCGTCCAAAGGAGATTACCTGTAGTCAGATATTAGTACCAAACTTCCTTTCCAGGGATGCTTCTTTTTTATCTTTTTTTGCAATAATAAATATGTGGTTAAGCTTGATGCTTTCTGCAGTGCTAAATACCTTTCCTTCCTCAGAAATGTGAAGGGAGTAATCTCCTTTTATTTTCAATTGGATTAAATTCAGCAGACAGCTTGGGAACCCATCTTCTCTGCAGCATTGTCTCTTATCAAGAAATGTCTTAATCGTGAAAGTCATCACATGCCTCAGCTTTGTGCTTTGCGCTGACTCAGGGTAGATCCTGTTACAAGGTGGAGAGTAAAGAGAGCTTCTGTGCCTCATAGATTCTTCAGGTAACGTTCATATTTCTTATTTTGCTCTGTTTTCTGGTTTCCTAGGACTGTGGCGGCCTCCTGTCTGAGGGGGACAATCAGGGCTGTTACCCTCTGGACGGGCACATCCTCTGCAAGACCTGCAACTCAGCTCGGATCCAGGCTCTGACCGCCAAGGCCAGCACTGATCTCTGAGTACCAACTGTGACCCTCCCCAGGATGCCTGCTGGGGGAATTGCACAAGCTTTGCATGATTTCTTTCCAGCCTAGGGCCTGAATCTTTGTTTGTTTGTTTGTGTGTTTGTTTTAAAAAAAAAAAGTAAAACTGGAAGGCCTTGGAGCAAGAGGGCGGTTCTGTGGCCATGTTCAGACTGCCAGCAACAGGCACCTAACTTAGGCGTGAGTCTTCCAAAGGGTGGCGAGTCTGACCACCAGCTGCTAAGTTATCTGCCTGTGGAAGAAGGTCTGAACTGGTGAAATGTGGCTGAGCTAGTTCCTTTTTCCAAGTTATTTTGGAAATCTGATCAGGTATGGGGATCTTCTTTGATTTTAATGGATCACCAGCAGAAGTAGCTCTACTGTCACAGAGGATGTGAAGCCAGTGTGAGAGCAGAACTAGCGCTCCTCATTGCAACTCAAACAACGCAACTTTGGCAGTACTGCACCTAAGGGTGTAGATGTGACCTTGAGCTTTTTGGGACACAGATTTGTTGTCTATGTGTTTCTTCTTAGGTCCTTACTTGTCTCCATTCCCTTCCAGTTCTATAGTTGTTTTTTTTTTTCTTTTTCTTATGGAATTATATTTTTGCTATTACATAAACTTATTCAGTAGTGATGCTTCCAATTCACAATATATGAGCAACCACAGAAAGATGTGAGCTTACACACACACACACACACACACACACACACACACACACACACAGACACAATGTGCTTTTGATTTACTAGAGGTATAAGCCAATCATGTCTGCTGAGAAGGTCTTTCAAGGATCTGGGTCTGAAACACTCTTTAAAAATCCCAGTGGTTAAATTAAAAAAAAAAATAGACTACACAGAACTGCAGTGCAAAGCGATGCTCAAAAAAATCTTGTGCCACTCACTGTAGTGGGACCAATGGCTGTGCTGGCTTCTGGGTAGATATTTAAGCACTGGAGTCTTGTTCTGTTGTTTATTGAAATGGGAGGATTTTCCTTCAGCTGTAACAGGAACTGAAGCAGGGATAGACGTCTCTGTGAAGTTAACACACATGGTCTGGAGCTCCCATTGGAAAAGGAATCTTATTCCAACAACGGCCAAAGAGCCGTGCAGTTGTTCAGTTTTTGTCTTAAAGCTGAAGAAGGTGTTAAACCCTTCTCTGTGCCATCCCAAAAAGCAAATGATTTTCTTTTTCTTTCATTTTCATCCCAGCCACTTATTACTCCTCTCTGGTGAAATGTCATTGCAGAAGGGTGCTGGGCCAGGAGCAGTACTTTCATCTTCTGTCCAGAGGTAATACATGTGCCAAGGTAAATAAAAAGCTGGGCAGAGATAACCTTTCTTTTTGTCATGTTGGTGTTCGTGGGCTTTTTTTAATTTATTTTTTTTTCACTTTGCTAATTAAGAAAATAAATTATAAATTCATGGCTCACTCTGAGCAGCTATAATATTCTTGTTCATGAAACCCATAATAACTAAGGTGCAAATTACATAGTGAGGGAGTAATTTTCATATCACTGAATTGACATTAATATCTTATTTGCAGATGTAATCAAAGAGAATACCTTTCTTTGCACTTAACAAATTAAGAAGCAGAACTGAAACAGTTGCAGGCTGATTGACCATATTAGTGACAAACTGGGACTTTTCAACAGTATTAGGAGAATTTTTTCATGTGCCCACTGAAAAACAATGAAAATGCAGTGCTTTCATCTTCAGTCTCTACAACAGAAACCTGATACAATAATCCTAATGCTGGGGGAAAAGAAAAAAGAAGTTAGATGAGTTGGACTGATAGGAAACAAAGGAAAACTGAAATAGTCACCGCAGCTCTTGCAAATGGTGCATTTGTTTCCAGTTTAGCACTAACCTCTATGGAAGAGCCCTGTGAACTGTAATAGCTTTAGCTGTATACAGTAAATTCAAACACAGAAATACCAATCTGAAACCTCTGTTCCTCACATGGTTTGTATGTTTGCAGACTCCTTCGGTGTCAGGGAAGTTTCCCAAAATTCACAGCTCAAAATGAATCCTTCTTTGTAGAAGGGTGGCATCATTAAGCAAAAGAAATCGTTCTCCACCATAGCGGCTGTACTGAAGCCGTTTGCCTTTTAATACTAGATTTCTGCCCTGGCCTTCAACAATTTTACTGCCTCAGACATAAACAGACTTTTTTGCAGGGCGACTCCTGCCAGATTCCATCTGGGCTCCTGCTCCCTGAACCGTGGCACGTAAGATTCTTCTGAGCTCGCTTTTTACAGGCAGCCCCTTCACACGGCACTCAAAAACTCTTGCAACTAGTGAGTGAATCCAATTTGAATTAACCCTACAGGAACACTGGAGTTCAGAGCTAGGGTTGCTAATACTGCTGGTTTTACATCTCTGCAATCACAGGGGAGGACCTGATGTGTCCCAGCGTACAAGAAGCCATTCATCAGGTAGCTCGGAACTTTGTTCTCATTAGTGTTAAATCAGGTGGCTGATGAGACTCTCATGAATACCACTGGGGTAAGTGATGGAAACTAGCTTATGTATCTGCCTGCAGATGTGGCCTAGACTCAGGAGGACTGAAGTCCAGAGCCCTTGGGCTTTTCATGGTCATGGTGTAGGCTGGAATTGGGAAAGTCGTATGGCTTCTTGTCCTTTGTACGAGAAAGCTTCTTTACAACTTCCCAGAGATGCTGTGAGAATTAAACTAGTCAAAGATTGGCCTAAACTCCTGATTTTGGAGTTTTGTTTTCTCCTTCCAGAAAAGCTTGCTGGTATGTAGGTTTGGGATTCCAGCCCATTTCAAAGCTAAGGGCCAGCCAGGAGGTGTAGATCTCAATCTGTGTTATTTAGGGTGCTGTGGTGAGCTGGGCTGGTGGGCAGCGAGGTGAGAGCCAAACTTTTCACACATTAAATACCCAATGGATGAAAAGTGGTTGTCAAAGATTGAGTCGTGTTATTGTTTGAGGTACTGTGGCTAATTTCTGGACCTGATGTATCTGGGCAAAGGTACTATCGTGCTTTTGTTTTCACCCCTGAAACACCAAAGCCATCTGCCTGTTGGAAAGATTAAGCATTCAAAACAGTTGTCTTTGTTTTTTGTTATGCAAGTTGTTTTGGCTTCTAAAATTGCTGTAAATATATTTGGAAGACGGTGCATATATGTATATGTACATATATATGTATGTAAGTAACACAGAGGCTCTCATCAGCCACCTGTTCATGGAAAGCTCCCCTCTGATGCTTCAGGATTTGACTAGATAATGCTGGTGGATTTATCTTAGTTGCACTGCAGTTAAGAACCACTGGGATATTCCTGCATCACAATATTTATCGCATTTTGCAATACAAGCTCATTTATCTGTTCCAAGAAGGAGGTTTTTGCCAAAGAGACCTTACCTTTTTAAGGTGCACATGTTAGCCATAAAAAAAAAAAAGTATATATATATACATATCACTTCATTTTTGCCTGTGGTAAAGTCTAGACTGTTCTTTTCAGAAAGAATTGGAAGATCACACAGACACCTCTGTTTGAGTCTGCAGAGTTTTTGCTTGTGCTGCTTTGGCCTCTTTGAGCATTTGTTGGCAAGTAGGGCCTGATCCTGTGATTTGTGTGGCCAGACAGGGCACAGAAGGGTCCAGGAATCAGGTTCTAATTTAGCAAAATACTTAAGCCCGTGGGGATTGTTTAAGCATAGGCTTAAAGCCATTGCGTGGTGTGTTATAAGCTATGGGTCTGCAGTCGTTAATGCCAGACTGGCTCTGCATCACCCCATCCGACAAATTGGAACTGGGTAGGATGGGGCCACAGTCGAATTTATGCTAAACTCACTTGAACGTGTGGTACAGCTCCTGTGTCACCTTTATTCAGGAATGCAAACAGCAGGAGCTCGAAAGTAACGTCTGGACATCAGGAGGGTGAGCTGTTACAAGATCAGTGCTTGGCATGGGGTGGCTGTGGCACTTTCCATATGTCACAAGTAGCCCCACAGCCAGATTTACTTTGTCTTTGAACCATGGCTTTAAATGTCTGCTTAAAGTTTCTCCCAAAGCTTGGGTTGCCTTGGTTACAGCCCAATCCTTATGCACATCCCCAAGGCTAACACTACAATTTTATGAATGTGATGGTTTTATTGTCACTTATTTTAATCGTTGCCTGAGCGTTCCTTTTAAAAACAGAAAGCAACACCATTGCTTTAGCTTATCAGATAATGCACCTTTGATTTTGTTGGGTTTTTTAAATGTATTCATTCTTGGATTTTTATCACAACTGCAAAACACTTGGGTAATGACTTAATCATAGAGGAGTGAAAGTAACAAAGTATTCATCGGAGTGGACACTACATAAGGTGTTCAGCCTGATGGCAGGTTTGCAAAACTTCCCTGGGATATGGGCCTTACATTGATTTCCTGCCTATCAGCAAAGTGTGCCTGAGAAGAATGAGGAAAAGTTGTGTTTCGAAGAATCGGTGGTGGTTGAAGGGAATATGCAGCAAGTCATGCTGAAATCTCTTTGAATCTGGTCCAGCTCCTGCCAGACTGTGGTCAGCAAAACCTAGCCTAGGTCTGATAAATGCTGATTTTAGGGTAACGTTGCTTTTGATTTTGAAGTAGTCCAGCAGATAAGGGATAACAGAGTCCAGAGAAGGTCCAGAGAAGGGCCACGGTTGCCTTTCTTTGGTAACCATGGTAGACACTTAGTGCCTTGGATGAACAGCTCAGACAGGAAGTGAATTTTGAACTGTCTTGTTATTGATGTCTGATTCCTGCAGTTGGTTCATCACATTGATTTGATATTTCTTCACAGAGCTGTGTTGCCTACACTTGACATACATTTCAGTCCTGTAAATTAGAGCTAGCAGAGATGTGGGGAAGAATCTCATGGTGGTGGAATTCCCAATCGAAAACACTAGTGATGGTAATAGAGGGCTTGTTGCCAAAGGATGGCAGGAACTACTCAGTACTAACTGGAGGCTGGTAAGGCACCAGCTGAGGAAGCTGGAGAACACTATTTCCAGTTTGTCCTGGTCCCAATTTTTACACTAAATCATGTGATGTTGGAAGGGCCTTCTTTTTAATGAGAAATTCTCTCTTTGCAGTGTTATCCACAACAGTATTTCTTGCTGTTGTAATTAAAACCTTAATCAGTTTTTATCTAAATGGATTTCAGAATTGTTGACAAATATTTTCATTTCTCAAAAATCTTGGTCTCCTTTCTCAATTCTTTTTTTCCTTCTTGGGTTTCTTCTGCTGGTCAATTAAAGTTTCTGTGATGATTTTGAAAACTTTTTTGGATAAAAATTCACTTAAAAAAAAAAAAAAGCACATGTTCTTGGAAAATGGTTCAATGTTAAGCCTGGTGAAATTTAAAAAAAAAAAAAAAAAAAGCTTTTAAACTTCTCACAAGATATTTTTCCCCTGTTTTTGACTAGCTTTGCTAACTTTGAAGTCACTGTTTCCTTTGCCAGAACAATCCAAATAATGTGACTCTTCTTAAAATAACAGTGTTAGTTCTGTTGGGTTCGTTTTTCTTTCTCCTCTTAAAGCCGTAGTGTGGCTGCGGGAGCTGCCTGGGACTTTGCTGTGGCAACTGCAGTTTTTTTCTTTATAATTACTGGGGGGAAAAAAGCACATTATGGCAACCGCCGTGAAGATCAAAAGATACTTACTGAACTTTGTCACCCTTCTGGGTTTGGGGATGGCATTTCTCCTTAGACATTTCTAGAAACATTACCTGTCTTCCTCAACACTTCAAGTCTGAATTTGCAGCAGTCGGTTGCCTATCTGGCATTGGGTGCTTCTGAGCATTGCGAGAGAGAAAAGACTTAAAGCTCGTGAAATTATAATGTTTGATTGGCATCTAGAAGGCCAAGAGAAAACCATAACCTCAGTAGGTTTCCTGGTGGACAGTAAGGAACGGCTCTCCTTTCATCCTGCAAGTTCTCTGCTGGGATGTGCAAACACTACACTCAAAACACTTGCAGACCACTCTGGTGTGTGCACTCACATGCACACGCAACGTGTTTGTGGTGCAATAACTGAGCACAATTGTTTAGACTGTATTATTAAGCACTGCTGCTCATACCCCTGGGCTTTTCTCCTGGCTGTGTGTTCCTGGTCTCCGAGCCGTTCTGTGATTCTGTCTGTTTGATCTAGCAGCTGGCAGCCTTGTGCATGGCAAGGGGTTGGAATGAGGTGATCTTTGGGGTCCCTTCCAATCCAAGTCCATGATTCCGTGATACGATTCTTTTGGCTTCATGTTACGTGTATAGGCAACTACCCATGAATTGATCACTGGTATTGAGAGTGGTCAGCTCAAACTTTCTTTCTGGTTTACTGCTTGTCCACATTTTCTCATCATGACTAGATGATCTTTTAGAAAATGAGGAAGGAAACAGAAGCCCCAGGGTGGCGTTACCTTTACATTTCATAGACTCATAGAACCGTTTGAGTTGGAAGGGACCCTCAAAGGCCACCTGGCCCGACTCCCTGCACTGAACGGGGACACCCACAGCTCCATCAGGTGCTCAGAGCTCCGTCCAGCCTGACCTTGAGTGTCTCCAGGAGCGGGCACCACCACTTCTCTGGGCAACCTGTGCCAGTGCCTCACCACCCCTCAGTGTAGAACACTGTTTCCTTACATCCAGTCTAAATCTCCCCTCTTACAGTTTGAAACTATTTTCCCATGTCCTATCACAACAGACCCTGCCAATGAGTCCATCCCTTTCTTTCTTACAGCCCCCCTTTAGGTACTGCTTTCCAGGGGTCAGCATCTTCTGCTGGGAAGATGACACGTGGGGTCCCTTTTTTGCCTCTGCCCCTTTCTTTGCCAGAAGTGGCAATCTTACCCTCTTTTTCCATTTGCTCCATGTGCACTCCTTGCAGTGGGCATGGTTTGTTACTTACTGCACGGAGGTATTGCAAGGCTTAGATGGGAGTTGGAAAAACTTTTCCAGATCTTTAGTCAAGTAGTTTTATGCATCCACAGTATCAGTGGCCTGCCACATGGATATCAAAGAAAATGATTATAATTATTGCTTTTAAAATGATTGTGAAATTGTGCCTTCCTTTTTCAGTCGTATTTAACCGTCTAATTTAGAACCACATGATTGCAGGGATCGTATCATGAAGAAATTTGTTTGAAGGATAGTTTGTTTGTTTTTAAAGATTTTTTTCTTCAAAATGAATTTATTAAGTTTTTTTCTTCTTTTACTGACGTTTCTTTTTTTTTTTTTTAATTTTCCTCCAATTTTATTCCTTTAATATGTTTGTGTAAAAAGGGCAGCCAGCATTTGCATTTGCGAGAGACAGAAGATTTTATTTGGTCTTGTATGCGGAGCTTTCATTTTCTTTTATGTTCCTTCAGGAAAATTCCTCTTTGCCCGATTACTCATACTTAGATGTCTTTAAACTCAGGCTGACCAGTGAGGGCTTTTTGTTGTTTAATTTAGAGTGTGCTTTGCTCTGCGCTTTATTCTGCTTTTTTAATTATCCAGATATCGGGTGCTGGGGAGGCATTGCACATTAATGCAGAATGCTAATGCTCATTTTCATAGAAAAGACAAAATTAGAGTCTCTCTCCGTCTCCAGTGCAGTTTTATTCCTGTTTTGCGTACAACACCGATATTAAGCCAGACTGTAAAGGCAAAATACTCAGTGACCTACTTCCATTCACCAGCAAGAAGCCTTTGTCAGCTGACTCCTGTTTGTTTGTTCGTTTTTAAATGTCGGATTACAGAACGAGCATCTCGCAAAGATGAAAGAAAGCAGTGTTTTCGTGCGCAGGAAATTTGGGGTTGCAGTAACAGAACATTTTCTTTGTGAATTTGGATGTCGTGGTGTTTTAAGCCCCCGCCTGGAGCCTAAATCAATTTGGCCTCTCATCCAGTTCATCTCGCTGGTGCTCCTAAAAGGCTGCAGCCCTGCAAAAGCTCATGCAGCATTTTTGGCCGCTTTCCCTTGCTCCCATTTGGTACATATTTGCACAATTTAACTGAGCTTTTCTTTCTGCTGAAGGTCAGATGCAAGCGATACGAAACACTAAACTTTATAAACAAGCAAAGCCATTTTAACCACAGCGTTTTGGACAAGAATGGGTTTTTAGGTGGCGTGCTGTCTGCTGGCTTTTGGAGGGGGGGGATCCTGAGGGTATATTTGCCTGAAACAGGATGCAAAGCCACAAGCCTTGGTTTCTTAATAAACTACTTACTGTAATCCAGCTACGCAGTTTCAGCCTCACACTTGAGAAGCAGCTTCCAGCAGCAGTGCACGTACAGGCACTTTCCCTCTTCCTTGCAGAAAGTGAAACTTTCCCAACCAGTGCAAATTTAACCTATTGCATAAGAAGCTGGAAGTTTGATTGTTTGGGTTTTTTTTCTTTTTTTTTTTTTCTTTGCAATTCTTTCTGTAACCTCTATAAGCAAAGGATGAATAGCTTTTCTTTTTCTTTTTTTTTTTTTGACAAGATTAGATGTTGCATATTGATGAGCTAGCATTTCAAAGGTCCGTGGGGCTTTGGAACGTATTAAGAATCTCTGAAGTTTAATATTCGCCACGTTTTAAATATTCAAGAGAAAAAAAAATCTGCATAAAATGGCTTTTGATAAATACGTTCTATGGGTTCTTCCTTGCTATCTTACACAAGCGCTGTGGGGATTGTGGCCGTGCCACTTTTGTTCCAAAGTGCCTTTTGTTTCAGCTTATCAGGACCGCTCCGTTCCCATTTGTATGCCCAGCACTGGTCCTGGAGTCTCCTATGGTTTCCACAGGAGCTGTGCTGCATGCAGGTGTGGATGCAGCATCTCGGAGCACACAGGGCAGCTTTGCATCCTTGGCTGTCCTCTTTTGTGAGAAGCTCAGTATTAAGAGGAGTGGTGTTTGGAGAAATCCTTCCTTGGGGATGCCCTGTTTCCCATCTCTGCTGAAAATCTCACTGAAGCTTTAGATTAGGATCAGTTAGGTCTGCATACGCTCAGCTATTTTCCTATATTATCAACGTTCTTGTTTGCCTTCTCCTTGACATACCATGGTGCAGGGCAACCTCCTTGGCCCTGCTCGTGTGCAGCCTTGACCTTTCCAAGTTCAATCAGTGCCAGGTGCTTTTCCTCAGGACAGCTCTGGTTGGGCCAAGGGCATCTCTATGCAAAAGGTGATTCAGCTTACAAATAATGTCGCTTTTTCAGATTCACCTTTCCCATCTCATGTATTCCTGACAGAAGCAGGGTTTTAAATATTTCATAGCATTCTTCTTTCTTCTCCTTTTTTTGCCAGATGCCTTGAAAACACTGTCAGATTACGATCTGGGCGGGAGTTTTCAGGATCGATTTCCTTTCCTCCTTGATTGCAACGGTGTAGGTTTGCATTGAGGTTTGGTGCTTGTTTAGTTTGTTCTTGTTTTTTGTTTTTTTTTTTTACCTTTGACAGAACAGATGCTTTCAGTTTATGCAGTGAAAGATTGACTATGATTAGAGCTAATCCAGGATGGCAGGATTGGACCCCCGCAGTGAAATCTAGAAAAGTGATTGCGAAAGTATTTTGTTTCTCCTTTATTAATTACACAGGAAGTTTCCACAGAAGGCTCATGTAACACTGCTGGCCTATGTAATAAGTAGCAGGGCCTGTAATTACAGTCTGTCTCTGATCCTATCTGTGCTCTGGCTTTCTAGGCATCGCAGTTCTATTTACATCTGTGTCTTTGTCACCTTTTACATTTTTGATTGGTCACTGAGGGAAGAACAACACAAGCCATGAGCCCTGCAGAGCTGCAGCAGCTCTGACCAAGGGAGTCCTCTACCTTCTCATGTATCTGCCTGATTTGGGACACAGAAGAGATTTTGACCAGCAAAGGGAGCAGGCTGCATGCCGGCTTTGTATCTTTCAGCATTCAGTGATTTGTTCAGTACCAGATTCCCCAGCACTGAGTTCTGGCTGACACAGCCCTGAGCAGCCCAGCTCCTGATCCTGAGACCTGGTGCTGAGTGAACTGGCACTGGGGGGGGGGGGGGGCTCAGTGCTGGTCACCCCACAGTACTCCTCTTCTTTAACAGATGCCTTCTAGAGTTAAACTACAGAATGGTGCCTCCTAACCTTCTTCTTCAGGCGCTATTCCCAGTGCTGCGTTTGATCATGAGGAACGAAAGCCGTTGTGCAAACCCTGTACACAGC